TATGTAAAGAAGGAACATTGGTTACACTTTATTATATTATAAAATTACCAAGAACCGAGTACTGTTTAAATATAAAATAGTTACAAGTTTACGTAGTAATAAAACTGCCCAATAGACGAACTATCGTCTAGTAAATTTTTTATTTCCGTGAACAGAATGTCGCAAAGAAATTGAGGGAAAACTACGTTCGGTTACTTTTAGAATTTTAGAATATATTTCCCGTTTTAATTTTTTGATGTTGGGTACATTTATTTACCCGATGATCCATTGAATAGGAGGAAAATAATTTTTTATATTTTAATTTAATGTATCATTTGTATTTAAAGAATCATTTTTGAAGTGTGATGTGTGTTCTACGAAAAAAAAAAAGAAGAGGTTAAAATTCTTAAACTAATTGAATAAATTAGCGACATCCTCATTTCAAATTAAGTTGTTGTTTATGCAGAATGCAAAATTCTTAGTATAACTTACGTTAGACATTCATTGAGCACATATAAAATTTGTATGAATAAGAATTTTATCAGTGTGCGTCTTCATAAGGAATGTTAGTAAAAGGTATTAAATTTCTCCGTGAGAAATGTATTTTTTATTTATTAGTTAATTAATTTTGTCGCCATCTTTCAATGTTACATTCTTCCTTTTCATATAGCAACTCTGATAGTTTGTATCAGTTAGAAATTGTCAGAGAAAAACTTTAATAATATGGGGTAGATCGCGAAATTAATACATTATACAGGTTTCAATCTTAGGGGTGGAAACAGTTGTTCTCTTTTTAATGACTTTAAACAAAAGTATCGGAATGATACTTTGTTGCGTTTTTAAAAGACTAAAAAAAATAGAAACGTAAATAGGTTGATACACGAATTTGCTTTTATACAATTTCGTTGGAAGCACTTAAGGAAATAGAAAAGTATAGAGCCGATAAAAATAAGTTACCCTGTCAGTTTTTGTAACTGTTTAGTTATTAATTCAGTATTGGATAGACGTAGTTATTTTGCTTGAAAAGTTTATCATCCTGCCAACGTTTTCTGTTAAATTTTGAATTCAGCGTCTCGCTCGGAAGATTTCTCTTCTTTTTTTTTTTGTATTAAAGTCTAAAAAAGTTATGATTTTATGTGTTCCTGTCCTAATGTTAGCGTGTAGTAGTTTTCTGTTAAAATTTCATTTGAGGTTTCAACTCTACGTTAGAAAAAGTCCCGATCCTTTTTGCGTTGAGTTTGAACTTCAGTGGTCGTTTAATTTTTAACGAACTCTTGTAGCATGGTCGTAATTCGCAAGAGTTTTCCCGTCTATAACTTCTCTTTTATTTGCAGAAGCTGCAAACCATCGGGGAAGACTTCTGTGGCCTGGACGTGAACACCCCTTTGGGAGGCGAGCAGCCCGTCTCTGCCGTACCTGTACTTCTATTTACTACCCGATTAACAGCTGTTGCAGCTACTTCTACTGGCGATTTCACAGTTGTCTTTATAGGAACACGCATGGGACATCTTAAAAAGGCAAGTAAACAACCAGATAATACTTCGTTTCACTCGTTTTCTAACTTCTAAATTAATTTCAACTCTGACCTTTCAAGTTACCAATCATTCATTTACCCCTCGTTACCTTACTTCAAACTTGAAACAAACTTGGGTAAGAACTCGTCAAAATCAACTTGTTATAAACTTTGTTGATTTACTATATTTTAAACATTTTTATGATTCTTTCAGCTACAACCGTTGCATTTTTAAAATTAAGTTCAATTTGGACCTTAGGGTTATCAATTACACATTAAATTGTTATAGCTATAGATATTTAAACTCGAGGGGTATTCGAGTAAAAAGAACTCGTCACCTGACAGAGTACAAGAAATAGAACTTTATCAAAATATCTACATATATATGTACATAGAAGTATATGTACCATATGTCAAATTAAAGGACTCGGCCATCTAGGTTCGTTAAAAAAGACTGCGAAACGATCGGTCACACGGCTGTGCGTAACTAAAGAATATGCACCATAAGAATGCATGTGAGATTTTTGCTTAAAAAAGCTCCTAGTTCGTGAAGACGAGCATTCCGCGAGTGTTTATGATCGTGAGTGGTATTAAATGATGGGCGTTGCACACGTGTCTGCGATGGGAAAAATCAAAAACATGGTGGTATTCTTCTACAGGGATGTTTTGAGTAGAATATTGCTTGGCTACTGCGCGGACAGTTGAGGTTCAATTCCGATACTGTAGCTTTTCTTCGATTAAGGTTGGATCTACACTATTAAGGTCGATCAGCGTTCGTTCGCGGTCAGATTTCAGCCTGGTAAATATTATCAAATAAACAGTGAATTAAGGTTAGAAGCGTTCGAAATGTGGTGTTATAGGCGGATGATGAGGATATCGTGGGTAGAAAAGGTTAGAAATGAAGAGGTATTGGAAAGAATAGGAGAACAGAGGACTCAATGGAAGACAATAAAAAATAGGCGAGATAGGTTGGTAGGACACCTTCTCAGGCATGAAGGTCTAGTCAGAGACATATTAGAGGCAGAAACAGGAGTTAGGAGGGATAGAGGTAGACCTAGAATAGATTACTGTTCGCAAATAGTTAAGGATGTGGGCTGTTCTAGTTTTAGGGAAATGCGAAGTTTAGCTCAAGATAGGAAAGAGTGGAGGTACGTGTCCAACCAGTCTTAAGACTAATGACCTTATGATGATGATGATGAAACAGTGAATTTCAGTCTTGAAAAAATTTTGTTTGAGCGAGATCGAACTTGTCACGACATGTATCGGTAGTATGATTGCTCTTTTGTTCCCCATTCAGTCGAAGCGACAAGCAATTAATGTTTCTCCTTCCGTTTTTCGTTGCAGTAAACTTGGATGCACCCACATTCTTCTCCTTGTTTCATGTTTTCTTCTTGCATTGATAGTATTATCGTATTCATCAAGAATAAAAGATATAACAGCTGATTCTTCAATCGAAAAGTTCAGTGACATTTTTCGGTCGCGAATATTACAAGATATTAAATACTTTAAGGTTCATTTTATTATTAATTATGAGCTAAATACATCCGACTTCGATTATTATTGATGGTTTAAGACTGAATCGCAAACTGAGTCAGATTGTCTAATGTGAACATGATTAGATTTTATCAGATCAAAATCGGGCCGCGAACGAACCCTGATAGTGTGGATCCAGCCTAAGTAAAATAAATTTCGATCATGGGTGCTACCTACTTATAGGTAATTTGTTAAATCTATTTTTGCAACTTTTTCTTCAATATCAAAGTAATTGGAAAGTGTATTTTGAGATGCGGAATGTTAATTTTCTAAATTTACTTTAACCTTAACCTTTATCGTATAGGAAAAACGTTTTAAAATCACGTTTTTCCTTTCAATATCAAAGTAATTGGTAAAACTCCTCAAGAAACGCTGCTGAATCAATTTTAACTTTGACCTTTCTGATTACGATAATTATTAGTTGAGTTGTCTTTTTTTACTATTACGTTTGAAAACGTTCAAAAAGTACTATTGGTCCTATAATTTTTTTTCTTAACGTGAGAGTATTTAATTGTGTAAATTCAACTGTGGGAACTTTATTTTTCACAGTGAAATACTAGAGTGATTAGCGTTAGATACTAAGATAAGTTGTTTCTATTAACTACAGCGGAATAATTAGAATCGGGTATCGAACGTCGTCCGTGATGGTATTAAATTAAACCTTACGATTAGCTTTAGGTTACATAAAGAAATAGAACTGCAAGGGACATAAAACATGAAATAGGGTTGCAAGGAAATACCTTTGTGTGGTGAATATAAATTTCACACGCTGCTGATTCTTGAAACATAAACATTTAGGTATATCCTTTACAACTTTACGTCTTATTATTATTTCGGTAAATTCCTGATAAAATGTAAGCAAAATTCTACTTTGCAAAAATATCTCAAAATATACAAAAGAGCATAAAAAAATGTTACATTGTTGTTAAGATATTTGTGCGTAATTCGCTACATATCATCTCGTAAGCTCAGGATATAAAAGTGGACTTGTATATGGTCAAATTATTTACAAAATACTATATTATATACAAGACTTAATACATATAACCGTAAACTACATATAACCCATTTATGTGCACATTTCCCAAATTATTTAATTTGAATATTGAAAACGATACGAGAGCGCTTATTCGTCATGAAAGAAAAAAATGTACTACGTTTCTAAAATTCTCTCTGAAAAACTTCCTGTCTCCTCCTTGAACCTTTTTTTATTACTGCTTGTTTTCAAGTTTCAATCTTCTTCAAGCGCCATAAAATCCCAAAGAGAAAGTTACCAGGTATAATCTTTTAAACTGTATATTTTTCAAAAAGGACCAGCCAATAGTTACGTATAGTTTTTAAATATTTTTGTTAGGAAATCTGAACAATATTATTGTCGCTGATTGTGAGTTTCTATATTTAAGGATGCCGATAACATAAGGTTGAAATATAAAACAAAAAATAGTGCAGTACGGAAAATTAGAAAAGAGATGACTTTTGTTTAGAAATTTGAAAAATATCAAGTGTGCGCTTGGAGTACGACTCTATAAGGGTGTGAAGTGTATAACTTCCGTGTTCAGTTGAACGTTTTTCCTTATCTGTATGTCTGTCTACTATTTTGTTGATGCGAGTGCTTGTGTTTATTTTCTAAAAGTAAAAAAAAAAACATTACCATTCGTTTGGGCTTCGCCATAATGCAATAAAAAATCCTCGCCTCAAATTTTTATACAAGGTTCATTTAGAGCTAGCTACGCCGCGAAACAATATGTTACATTCGGAAAATAAATCCGGGATATGGTGTTGTAAAGAGCGACTACACGAAGTTTTTGTTGGGAAATTTATATGCACCACCTTCATTTAGTTGAGTTATAGAAGAGAATACACCCATCATTAGATTGTAATCGTGACTGTTTTGCAAAGTTCCCATTGGAAAGTTACGCTTCACCTCATCTTTGCTATTCATTCGAAATACACGACACTTTGACCTACAATATCTTTCAGTCGTGCCGTTCGTTTGAAAATAATTGACTTGCGTAATGTGTGAACACAGCAATGATACAGTTCATGATCCACCTTTATACACTTCCGCGCCTACTCCAATCAAATCACGATATTTTTCAATTTCGTATACTATATATAGGTACAGTCGGACACATCCCTATCACTTTACTATATATGCCGAGGGCCGTTGTACGTTACAACACACTTTCAAATATTAAAAATTAACAGTTTTCATTTTTTTTTATTCGGACTTTGAATATTGAAATTTTCAGTTTGTTTTGCTAGATTTTAACACTATATATATAAAAAAACGTGTTATAGAACTTGATTGCGTTATTCTTTAGTGGAATGCAATTATTTTCATTTTATAATGTTGGAAAAATTCAAAACGCAATTCAAAAATAAATACAAAAATAACATTAAACTTTAAAAAATCTGATCAACGCGATACTACCGCGAATTTCCCGTACGATACCTTCATCATCTTTATGTAGCCGGTGAACATATACATACATAAGAAGTACATATTTATTTAAACATTGTTACTGATTACGTATTTAAATAATATCGCCTTGCATCCTATCAATCGGTGTTCAATCTCGTTCCAATTAACAAACAGTGGCAACCACTGACAGTGAATAGCCCTTGTAATATGAATAGGGAAGAGATCACGACGGGTCGGCCAGTCTACTGCACCTGACATGCTCTTTGTACGTATACGGTGTTCTAAAACAAATTTTTTTCTCCACACGTAAAGTTCAAATGTGAGATATTATTGTTTCATTCCAGAGAATGATCGAGTATGTCACAAAGAGATTTTCGTTATAGGGAATTCACTCTGTAGGTACTACACTGTATTTTTTAAATTATAATGCACTTTTGGCTTGGAATATGTATAGGTATTGATTTAATCATAAACGAAAACAAGTTTAACAACAAAAAAGTTTCGAGTTATTTTTATATCAAAACTCAATCCATTGGTGATTGAACTTACAAGGCAATGCTCTTAACTTTAGATCCTTAATTTAGATCAATGTTACGGTTTTGCGACAGCTTATTCTTGGAGATAAATTAACACCGAACATAAAAATACCGAAACATTTTCCTGTTTTTGTGAAGCATACCTATAAATTGTTGTAGTTGACGATTAATTGTTTAACTTATCGATATTCTATTTACATACATATTTTGGTTGTTGATTAAAAAAATATAAAGAGGATTTCAACTTGAGATGTAACACAGCAATAATATTTACAAATTTCCTTTTACGTAAATTTTAAAAAATGCAAATATTTGTTTAACTCATACTAAAATAGCGGTGCACTCAAGCACACACACACACTCGCATTGGTTTTACTAACGTAAGAATTTATTTAAAGAATCAATATTGACGTGGTTCAAGGCAAGCCATTTGGACTAAAATTGACAGTAATTTCAAGCCCATTAGATAAAAAGTACGGGTGGAACTTTGATAAGTTTATAGCTCAACTT